GCTCCCCTTCGGGGGTGCTGAAACCGGCGTCATCCCATGAGGCATCCTCACAGCCTGTGTGCGTGAGCGATGCTGAGCATGAGTGAGTCTGAGTGAGGAAGTGATATAACAAAATCTGCGTGAGGAAAAGTGAGCATGAGTATGAGTGAGTCAGAATGATGAGTAAGTGTGCAGAGAGTGTCTGGGTATCACGTGTGATGAGAGACTGTACAGAGTATGTGTGTGTATGTTTTTGTATATGTCTGTGTGTGCCTGTGTGCGTGCGTGGTGAGTGAGTCTGAGCGTCAATGAGTGTGAACATAGCTGGGTACGAGTGAGTACGTAAGAGGAGGCTGAGTGATGATTGAGTCTGAGTGTGAGCAAGTCTGAGCATGAGAGATGCTGAGCATGAGCGAACCTGAATGATAAAGCGGCGTGACTGAGTCAGAGGAAGAGTGAGTCTAAGTATGAGTGAGTCTGAGTATGAGTGAGTCTGATCATCAGTAAGGATGAAAAAAGGAGAATGCGGAGCAAGGAGGAAGAGGAGTCAACGCGGTCTGAGTAATAGCAAGAACCCTATCTTAGGATTTGAGAAATGAAGGGCCGCCCCCCCCTAACTGACAGACTGTTGCGTGCTCAACATGCCTCGAAGACGGCCTAAGATGGTCTCAAGGCGGCCAAACATTGACTCAAGACGGCCCAAGGTGCCTCCAAGAGAGCCGTGGCCACAAGAGGACTTCCAACAGGGTCCGAAGAAACAACAATCTCTCCTCACAGACTGTTGCATGCTCACGATGCCTCGAAGATGGCCCAAGATGGCCCCAAGTCGGCCAAATATTAACTCAAGACGGCCCAAGATGCCTCCACGTGGGCCATGGCCACAAGACGGTCCAAGTGGGTCCAATTCAGGCAAAGTCATCGATCCCCCTAGGGTTTTTCAATGGTGCTAGCATTCTCGCCTTTCTGTGCTGCCGCCAGCTCAAGACAGCCCAAGAGGACACCACGATTATCCTTGAGGCATCCAAGGCGGCCCCAAAAGACCCCAAAAAGCTTCCCGTGCGACCCAAGACAGCCTAGAAAGGCCCTTCGACGACCCGAGACGGCGTCAATCAAGACGGCCCCACGACGGACCCCAGACACCCACCATACGGCCAAGCGAGCCACAAGTCAGCCCGAGAGAGCCCCAAGCCGGCGTGAGAGGGCCCCAACATGGCCAAGGATGGCCCCAAGAGACCCCAACGACTGCCTCACAGGCGGCTAAGACAGCCCCAAGGCGGTCCATTCGAGATTCCTTATCACCATCAGCATCATCAACAACAACATCAGCATCAGCATCAGCATCAGCATCAGCATCAGCATCAGCATCAGCATCAGCATCATCATCATCATCATCATCATCATCATCATCATCATCATCATCATCATCATCATCATAATCATCATTATCATCATCATCAGCATCATCAGCAGCATCATCATCTGCATCATCTGCATCATCAGCTTCATCATCAGCAGCATTCGCACCAGCATCAGCATCGTCATCGTCGGAATCAGCCGCATCATCATCTGCAGCATAACCATCATCATCATCATCAGCATCATCATCAGCATCATCAACAGCATCATCATCAGCATCAGCATCGAGGTCATCATCATCACCACCCTCATCACCAGCGTCGGCATCATCTTCAACATCATCCCGAGCATTATCAACAACACCATCATCAGCAGCATCATCATGATGAGCATCATCATCATCAGCAGCATCATCAGCAGATTCAGTATCATCATCATCATCATCATCATCATCATCATCATCATCATCATCATTAGCATCATCATCATCGTCATCATTATCGCCAGAAAGTCATCATCAGGCTCAGCCGCATCACCACGGTCATCATCATCATCAAAATCAGCAGCATCAACATCATCATCCACGTCGTCAGCATCATCAACATCGTCATCATCACCCGCCGCATAAGCATCATCATCATCACCGTCGTCATTATCAGCAGCATCATTACCATTATCACCATCAACATCATCAACATCACCATAGGCATTTATCATCAGCAGCATTAGCATTCGTGATGATCAGCAGCATCATCATCTTCATTGTCATCATCATAGTCATCATCATAATCATCAAAAGCATCAGCATCATCGCCAGCACCACCGTCATCATCAGCAGCAATCACATCAACCTCAGCATCATCATCATAATCAACATCAGCATAACCATCATCATCAGCATCAACATGCCCATCATCATAACGATCATCATCAGCCTGAGCCGCGCTATCATCATCATACGCAGCAGCATCACTATCATCATCAACATCGTCACCATCCGCGTCATCATCATCATACTGATCATCATCAGCATCATCAGCATCATGACCATCAGCATCAACAGCATCATCCTCATCGTCAGCACAATTATCATCATTATCCACATCGTCATCATCATCGTCATTATCGTCAGCATCATCATCATCCTCACAACCCTCATCATCATCCCCCTCCTTCTCCTCCTCCTCATCATCACCATCATCATCATCATCATCATCATCATCATCATCATCATCATCATCGATAATCTATAAGAACATGCGAAAAACGCAACATGGGTTTCAAGCCCCAGGCAAGCCAGCAGCGCCCCGGCAGCGTGGACCCCGCGGCCGGACCAGTGAGACACCTCCCCTGGGACCCCCGTGCAGAGATTCTGGTGAAAGGAAATCAGACCAGAACACCAACAAGAGTCTCAGTTCTAAGCTTGGGAGGACTGCAACTAAAGAGCCTCCTCTCTGGACCAAGCCGAGCCACAACACCAGATCGAGCCACGCTTCTGGACCAAATCGAGCCCCAACACCACGGTGAGCGCTGCCAGCACATTCTGGGCCGCGCCACCCGATCCCAGTGAGTGCCAGAACCCCGTGGTGAGTCGCCGTTCTGCGCCTCAGTGAGCGCTGCCGGACCAGCCCGCCAGGCTGGTGAGACGCCTCCCCCCGACCCCCCCCGTGAAAGAGATTCTGCCCTCTAGCGAAATGGTATGTCCGGGCAGACGGAAGGCTCGGGTGCGGGGGACTCAGGTTGGCCTGACCGGGCCACCGTGGACATGACGAGACCCACCCTGAAAGTTCATACGACCTCCCGCTGCAGACATCCCATAGAAACCTGGGCCGTCAAAGATCCGTGACGCGCTCGTCAAAGAGCGTCGGCGAACGCGGATTCCGACGCAACCAGGTGTCTCGCGTTTCCCCGATGTTGAAAGCTTGGACGCCCGAAATGGGTATGGAAAAAATGGGTCCAATGCCCAACAACAAATGTTGTCAAAAACCAACAACGGCCGCTGTTGGGCAAGCGGCCCTCTGTCTCAAATGGACACAGGCGGCGGCGGCGCGGACAGCGAGTCCTGTTCAAGATGAACAGGAACTGCTGTTGGGCGTCGTACCCATTCTTTCCGTACCCATGTCGTTCGTGCCGAGAATGAGAAAACTCCCGGCAGGGCTGCCCCCCAGCCCGCGGCCGCCCTCGAGGGCCGCTCCGCCCCACGCCTTCGCCGCGCCCTCGCCTGCGCACCGCGCCTCTGCCGCTCGGAGCGTGCGGCGGGGAGGGAGGGTCGAAGCTCGAAGCCCCTCCTCGAAATCAAACGCAAGTTGGGGGGGAGGGAGGGGACGAAGCTCGAAGACGGAGGCCCTTCGCCCCTCCTCGAGAGCAGACGCAAGCTCGGATCCGGCCCCCATCGCCCCCGATGCTCGGTGTTGGCGGACGCGCGCAGGGCGGCCCGCGGGGCCCCGCGAACAGTAGCAGTCGCCAGCGTCGGCGTCGACCTTGGACTCGGGGGCCCCTAGCGTCACCACGTCGTGGGAAAACTTGCGTTCGACTTCGAGTGATGTTTACAGGGGCCCTGGGACACGCAAATAAATAGACACACATCCCAGGATTCCGTATAGTTTTCCACATCTTCTGGGTTTTCGTCCTCCCCCCAGTTCCTATAATTTCAAATATTTTCCTGGGAGTCGACGATGAATTGTGTCTGTGTTTCTTCCCCTCGTGAATGATGGACGCTCCACATACAAGAAAAAATAATCCCTGGGAGGTGTCCCGACGCAGCGGCTGGATCCCCCTCGAAACTCGTGTCAGGACGCACTCCTCGAGGGGAATAGTCCTCCTCCTCCTCCTCCTCCTCCGCCTCCTCCTCCGCCTCAGCCTCCTCCTCCTCTTCCTCCTCCTCCTCCCCCGTTTCCGCCTCCTCCTCCTCCTCCTCCTCCGCCTCCTCATTCTCCTGCTCCTGAGGGGGACAAAGGAGGGCAACGAATCGCGACCCAAGGGGGTGAAGAGGGCAGGGGTCGATTTTCGATCGAACTTCGGCTGGAAGGTCTGGCAAGAGGGAGTCCACAGGAGGGCTGTCGCTCTGAGCGCCCAGGTGGCCACCGGGAGGAGAACGAGGAGGGAGGAGGAAGAAAGGGAGGGAGGAGGCTCTGCTGCACTGCTGCTACACGGTGCCTCCGCGAATGGCAGCGGGCTCGGCTGCAGTGGGGCCGATGCCCTGGCAGATGGCGCCCGCGAGCGTTGGCACCGCCACTCTGGGCCCAGTGCAGAGCACAGACATGAGCAGGCGGCTGCGGAAGAAGTTACGAGGGATGAGGGAATAGGGAACACTCAGGATAGGGAGGGACTTTTAGAAGAAGAAACAAGATGCCATTAACATGAATTTTAAGCGCTCCGCGCGGATTTCTTGGATCTGCGTTGGGCCGCGGAGCGCGCCAGGGGCGGCGCCAGGGGCGCCGCCAGGGAGGGCCCAGCGCGGATCCAGGACGCCCGCGCGGAGCGCCAAGGTTTCTGCTGGTGACGTGCTCTGTTCCTGGAGCTCTGGAGCTGGAGGGCAGGGAGGAGCGAGCAGGCGGCGCGCAGAGGGGCGGGCGCACGGTCCGCACTGGCTCGCCCGGAGGCGCGAGCCCCGCAGCCGCCTCGAGGGGGGGCTGCCCCGGTCCCCCGCCGCGCCCGCGCGGCGCCTTGAGGTGCGCCTGCACCACGGCGGTGTAGCTGACGACGTCGGGCTGGACGCCGCTGGCCTGTCGGCGAGGGGCGGCCAGGAAGCAACCCCTCGGAGGTCCTCGTTGATGGACATGCGCGCTGCACTGCTCGCACAGTGACTGCTCCCAAATGGCCTGGATCCGCCGCGTGGGAGCGTGGGATTTACGATCCATTGCATAGAGGACGACACGGATGTTTCTGGCGTCTGTCAAGGGGCACTTTGCGAGTAGCGGAACGCGCTCGGCGAATCGAATGGGTCCAAAAACACACACACACAAATAGACAACACTCCCAGGACTCCCGCTATTTTCCCATGCTTTTTGGAGCTTCGTTGTTTCACCCAACTTCCCATAAAAACAATATCTTCCTGGGGGTCGGCGACTATCTGTGTCTGTGTGTCTCCCCCACCTGACCCACAAGTTCCAGTAAACTATTGGGCCAGATTTGGGGGCTGCTGAACAGGATTCGTTGAACAAAAAACATCTCGATATGCATATATATATATATATATATATGTATATATAGGTATGACAAAAATCGGTCAAATGAAGCACGACTGGGCCAGATTACGTGGGAGTGCGCCAGATCGAGCGGGCAACACGGAGGTACCGGCGCCGATGCCGAATTCAACCTCCCAGGAGTTGCATCCTAAGGGGTGGGTCGCGCGGCACCGAGCCTTCCTCGAACAGCCAGCCAAGTCACCTGACTTCGCGCGCTGCGCTCCTGCGGGTGGCACAGGACCATGCTTGTTTTTGAGCAGGGGCCGACCGTCCCGGCATCTTAATAGGCCTACCACGACATGTTTTCAGAATCCAGCAATGTCCTAAACACAAACGGGATGTTCTTAGAAAACAAACCCGGTATTTTAAAACAAGACAGTCCAGGCCAGAAATGTTCTAAGAACAGTACGTGGAAACCACAACATGTTCTGATAACATTAGACACACATGCGCGCATGTGCGCGAGGTCAAGTTGCTGGGACAAGCCGCGAAGGGCCCCAAGACCGTCGCTCGGGCTTCCAAAAGCGCCCGAGGAACGCCCCAGGAGGGCCTGAAGAGGCGAAGCCGGCAAGTTGCACACGGCGGCCGCTAACTGCCTGTCGACAATCTGTGCTGGTCGATTGCCTCAAGCATGGCCGGACGGGGTGGGCGGGGCGGACGGGCTTCGGGAACTTTTCGTTCGAGCGTCCGGCCTGCGTTGACGGAGCGCGCGGTCTCGCTGCAACCTGGGGCGGGACCAAACAACAGATTTGGCCGCCCGGAATGGGTACGGAAAAAATGGGTGCGTTGGCTAACAAGTAATGCTGTCACAAACTGGCAGCGGCCGCTGTTGAGCAGGTGGCCTTCTGTCTCGAATGGGCGACGTCCGCGGCGAAACCGACAACGAGCCCTGCTCAAGAGGAACCAGGCATGCCGTGTAGGTCCTGGTGCCCATCCTTCCCGAACCCACGTCGATCGTGCCGAGCAGAACAGGTCGATTCCGGTGGGCCGAAAAAATGACAACGGCGGGCGGCTGGCCACGGTGACCGCAGGCGTGCCGCACGACTCAGTGCGAGGCGGGGATTTATCCATATCCACGGCCTGGGAACCGACGTCCTGGTGCCACTGCGGGCGGTGGATCTGGATATATTTCGGCCCCTGGGGGCCCGAATATGTCCATATCCACCGCCTGCCGAGGCTCCGAAAACTGACCCTCCAGGCGGTGGTCATGTATAAATTCCCGCCTCGGATTGCAGGCTCGCCCGCGCGGGCGGCAGGGGCTGGAAACGAAGCGCCCGCGCCAGCAAGAATTCCCGGGCAGCGCCTGCGGCTGGACACGGCGCGCCTCCGACGGACGGGGGCAGTGGTCACCGCCCAGGTCGGCGGCGAGCCCCGGGGGGGGAAATCCAGAGCGGGCGGGCCGAGGAGGAGGAGGAGGAGCAGGAGGAGGAGCAGGAGCAGGAGGAGGAGGAGGACCCAGAAAGCTCGGACGGCCTCGGGCCTTCTGGACAGGTTTCCGGGGCCGTCCCGCAAGGCAGAAAGACTTCTCAGACAGCTCGAGGGTGGCCGAGCAGCCCCGCCGTCGCGCGAGGAGGCCCAGCCCCCTCTCGCTTCCCCCCCGGGCTCGCCGCCGACTGGAGTGCAGAGCCCAAAGAGCTAGAGCTCCTTCGAAACTGTGGTGGCGCCCTGGCCTTCGCGCCGACAGGGCGTGCAAACTGGAGGCGCGTGCGACGCCGCCTCGCTCTGCGGGGTGCGCCACGCCCTTGCGAGATCCGAGCGACCACTGACGCAGAGGACGCGTGCTGTCTCTGGAGCGTCGGACTCATCCACTCAGCGCACCTTTTCAAGCCACAATATCGCGCGCCGCGCAACGCTGAGGCGGTAGTTGTACAGCTGCCTGCCTCCAATGACAACCACAGTCGGCCAGAAGAGGGGGGACACTTCTCTGGGCGAGACTGGCAGTGCACCCACCATCTTGCCGAGGAGCCGATCCCGCCAATGCTCTTCGCCCCTGGTCAGGAGCGACGATCACGTCAATATCCATACCCTCTCAGTCTGGACACCGAGGCGCGGTCACATTGATGCGCGATCCCGTGGATGGCGTGTTGCGCGGGGCGTCCGTCCCATGCCGCGCTTTTGCCCGGCATCCACGAGGTCGCGGCCGCGGAGTCCACTCCGCGAGGCCGTCAGCACGGATATGTTTGTCGCCTGCAGCCTCAGCTTGCGCTCAATACCGTCCAACAAGTGCCAACTGGCGTTGGGGAGCGCGGTGTCGATATTCGGCGAGCGTTTGCCGTACGTGGCCAGCACGGCCGCCACCGTGCGATGGAACAGCCGCGTCTCCGTCTCGTCGTGAGGGTGGCGCGCTCGGAAATCCACCACGCCCTCGCGGAGGTCTTTCGTCAACATCCCGGACCACTGCGCCTTGCTCGGATGCAGCTCATGGGAGCCTCCCATACCATCTTGTCGGCTCTTGCTAATCGACGCCAGTCGACGCTTAATCGACGCTCATCGACGCTAAATCGATGCTAACTGACGCCAACCGACGCAACATCGGCACTCTCTCATCGACTCCAGACGCTATTAGACGCGAATCGACGGTAAAGGCGGAATTTAGAGGGTATACCAGGCCCCCATGATTTGCGACCGAAGCCTTGAACTCCCGTGACTGGCTCCTGGATTTCACCTCGCGCACAATGGTCTCGCACAGCATTACGATGCTCCTCCCCAACCGCTGGTGCTTGGCGTCTGGGTTGACCACCACCAGCGGCTCCATTGACGTGCGCCGAGGCGTCGCAGCGAAGGGCTTGCGCTCCATGACCGGCGGCTCCATGCTGCGCGCTGCGGTGCGCCGCGCTGCCCGAGGCGACCTGGGCAGTGATCTTCCTCAGGCGGTCCTCGACAACTTTCTTGTCCGCCTCCAGATCCTCCTGTCGGGGAGACGTAAGACTCGGTATGGGGGGACTCAGATTGGCCAGACGGGGCCATCATTAAAATGACGCGACCCAATCTGAAATGTGACGCGAACTCCCGCTGCAAACATCCCACGAAAACTGGACCGTCAACGTCCAGGACGCGCTCGTCAAAAAACGTCGGCAAACCCGAGTTCCGACTCATTCGAGCCGTACATTTCTCTGATCCTGGTCGATGTGGTCGCCGTGGGTAATGACCGGCAAGATGGTGCAGCCGCCGCACGACTGGGCGCGCGCCTTCGTGTACTCGTCCCGGATCCAGTTGGCGAAGACCTCCGACTCCAGAGAAGAGATTCCCTGCGAGGTGCCTGCGACCACCAGGACGATCAAATCGGTGAGCACATCGGGGCAGTACCCTCGCTCCCTCAGAGTATCGCGGTACATTTGCATGATGTCGTGCGATGTGTCGGGGTCCAGGCCAGGTGAGTCGGCTAGAAGTACTTTGAATGGCCCACAGGTTTCTAGAGGGTACAGGGCAATCTTCATGGTAGTTCTTGAGCGGCGAGCTGTCTTTGCCTTACCCTGGTCCGAAAGGCCATCAGGATCCGTAAGGGCGTTTATCAATGTGGACTTACCCTGGCGCCAGTTCCCGATCACTAAGACGGGATGGTTGGTAAACACATCGGAAGACCTCTTGCACACTCGCTCGTAGAAGCGCGTGTCTCTAAGGAACACCCTGGTGTCCTTGAATATGCTCTCCACGTGCTTGCATGTAGCCGTCTCCTCGTTGCTGTACGTCTGGCCTTCGGGGAGGTCTTCGATCTGCAGCCTGCCCACGTGCCACAAGTCTACGATCGCATCCAGAGTCCACTGCACGCCCTTCTCCTGAGCAAGCGCGGAGGCCATGGGAGAATCTGGCTGGCTTCCCTGCGACTTGCAGGAGGACGAGAGTGAGAGAGCAGGGCTGAACCTAAACGGTGTTTTTCGTTTTCGTGTTTTGTTGTCGTTTTCCCTCGCTTATGGCTCGAATCCGCCTTTACCGCAAAACGAAGTCGAAACGAAAACGGCCCACAAGATCGCCGGAAACACCGACCAGGTCCAGCCCTGTGAGAGAGCGTGTGGGAGCGAGGGGGCGGCGGACTCGGGAGCCTGCCAAAGCCAAAAAGCCCTGAGCCACGGCGGCCGCGGGCAGAGGCCGCGGGCAGAGGCAGAGGGCCGGCTGGAGCAGAGCGGCAGGCGACCCAGGGGGGAAACGAGTGGGCGGCTGGAGCGCGGGGCGGATCCGGAGAGGAAGGAGGAGAAGAAACATGGGGAAATAACTACGGATGCGAAAGAATGAAAAGAAGAGGAAGAGGAAGAAGAAGAGGAAGATGAAGAAGGAGGAGGAGGAGGAGAAGAACATACAAAAAGAAGGGAACGACGGAGAAGAGAACGAAGCAGAAGAGCAGGGCGCCGACGTCCCCTCCGCCCGCCCGCCCGCGCGCGCCTCCGAAAGGCCGCCTTACTCCCGGGCCGAGGGTCTGCCCAAGCGAGCTCTGGGGCCGATCCCTCCAGACGCCCAGCCAGCAAGGACGCCGACCCCTTGGGGCTTCTCGGGGGCGCGCAGACATGGGTTAGCGGTCCATGGATCTTCCGGCCGGGCGAAAGGGGGGGATAGCAAAGGGGGGGTTGAGAATAATTTTTCCGTAGCTGATTTTTCTGGCGCCTCCCGGCGCTGGGAGGCGCCCATGTATCGAGGAATGGGTCAGGCTGCGGGGCTGAAACCAGCTGCATGCAGCAGATTTCGTACCCCCCCCTTTTCCTATCCCCCCCTTTCGTTCGGCCCGAGATTTGGCGCGCGGTCGCCAAATCCATGGATCGGGGGAGCTGCCCTCCCCAAAATTGCTGCCTCCTTCGGCGGCGGAAATCCGCGATTTCTCATGTAAACGGTACCCGTTGCCAATCCACGCCCCTTAATCCATGTTTGCGATCGCCCGAGCTTCTTCGGCGTGCGAGATTGCTGCCCCTCGCCAAGTCTCACCCCCGCAGCCCCGTCTGGCTAGTCTGAAGGGAATGGGTCCTGGTAGGTCCCGCCAAACGATTCTGGCGGTGGACTCATGTGCATGCTTCGGAAGTGCTCCCGGACGCGGGCTCTAAGACCACGCATGAAGGCTCTGACAGTCCTCGAGGGCTCCAAGACGGCTCGAGACTGTCTCAGCACTACCCCCCAAACGGCCCAAGAGGGCTCCAAGAGGAGCCACACGAGGGCCTCATGAGGCAAAACAAATAGGTGTTTGACAAAGTTTCGCATTCTCATCTTTTCTTACTTCCGACGGCGTGAGACGGCCCAAAAAGAGAAGCGCGCCTGCAGTTAGATTCCGGCGAGTGTACTTTCATGGCGTGCCCCCCCCCTCCACTGGTGTTTCAGACAGCGCTGGCCCGAAAAGGAGTGCAAGTGAGTCCCGACTTGCGTGGAAGTCTAGATCTCCTTTCAGGCCTCTAGAAGAAACAGCTGCGTAAACGTAAACTTTTGGCGCTCCGCACGGATTTCTTGCATCTGCGCTGGACCCCCCTCCCTGGCGCGCGGTCCGCGCCAGGGGCGGCGCCGTGCGCGCCAGGGAGGGCGCCGGAGGCGCCGCCGGGGAGGGCCCAGCGCGGATCCAAGAAAGCCGCGCGGAGCGCCAAAAGTTAATGTTAGTGCAGGTGTTTTTTTCTTCGAACCTCCCCACGCCCCCCGTCCACGCAAGAAAACGTGCCGGTGTCCAAACGCAGAACTGCTTCCAGAACGCTCTGGAACGGTTTATCCTGGTCCTGATTGGATCGGGGCGGGGGGTGTTCAGGAGACATTGGAGATTTTTGGATATACCTGACCTAACCTAGCTTAGAAGTGGCTGGGGGGGTCAGATGACTCCGCTGTGGACGGGGCCTACGTAGCCCGAATCGCTGAGCTCCCGAAGCCGCCTCTGGCATTTGAACCCACGTATGTGCCAAGTGAGGCCAGAGACAACTCACCTTGGCATCCACTGATTTGGGGCAAAGATAGGGGGACCTGCTAAGGTGCGACGCATAGACCCTGAATCGGCGACGCATCACCGATATGTTGGCGGTTGGTACCCGATAGCGAATCCACACGTTCCTGCGCAGGGTGGGGCTATCAGACCTCTATCGAGGACAAACATGGGCGATTGGTGGTTGATGCGTTTCCCACTGAGCCTGTCCCCAGAACCGTTGCCCCTGAACAGATCATCCCCCCCTTATCCCCTTGGCAACCCCGTTCGGCTACATGCAAGAGTCACCCCAGGCAAGACAGGCCGTTGGTGCGCGGCTTCAGGGGAAGCGCGAGGAGGCCAAGACCCGGCGCGCAAGCCGCTGATGTCGCATCTTCCTCCGCGATCGGGGGGTCCTCCTGGGCCAGCACCCAAGGGCAATCGATCGAAGGGCCACTCTTATATGTGCAGTCGACCCGTGCCGATCGCAGCAGCACCGCCCAAGCATTCCCCCCCCCTCCCGAGGTACCCGGGACACCTCCACACAGAGGTGCCCAGAACCCCCCGCGGAGGGCTCCCCGTGGTAGGCCTCCCCGCGGGGGGAGCCCGGCAGGAGAGGCCTCCACTGCGGGCAAAAGTTTGATCCATAACCGTGATAAAAGACTTTAGACCCCCCCATAAAGGGGGTTGCTAAACATTTGGTCGCTGGCCTTGCTCACGGACTGGGGTCCCACCAAAAGGGGATAGCTCGTGCTCTGTTCCCGCGGCACCCGCCGCGCAACAGCGAGGCCGACAGCTACGACCACGCTTGCGACTACAAGGAGCGGAATGAGGACGAGGAGGAGCAGGAGGGGGAGCAGGAGGAGGGGAAGGAGGAGGGAGAGCAGGAGGAGGATGAAGAGGTTATAGGACCAGTCCTATCCACCGCCGAGTGAATAGGGGGGGGGAACCAAAACCAAAGACTCATCTCGGTTGCATATCCACTGCGTCTCGGACTCTCCAGGAAGGGGCGCCACAAGGCCGAGGCGCGGTGAGTCTGGAACAGGAGTCTGGCCTCTGGGAGGCAGATTTTCTTCCACAGCCACTGCGCCTCGGGCTTCGGGGGAAAGGGGGCCCGAAACGCCAGAGTGCAGTGGGTGTGTATGCACATCTGCAGGCCCTGGGCCCCCAGAGTTACCACCTGGGGCCCCCAGCCCCTGCCCGACAGAAATGCTCGAAAGCTCGATCATCGATCCTCCTCGAAAGCCTCGGGCGAAGCATCTCGAAATGCCTCGAAAGCTCGATCATCGATCCTCCTCAAAATGCCTCGAAATCTCATCGATCCTCCTCGAAAGGGGATCGCCGAGATTTCGCGGCTCTGGGGGATCCATGGGGCGCAGCGGCCAGTCCAGAGCGTTCCAGAACATCCTGGAGCGATTTGATCCAACTCCTGATTACCTACCAGTCTGTCCCAACCCAACCCGAAGACCCGGATTTCGGGCTGGGGGGGGTACGAGTTCCATATGTGTTTTGCAATGTTCCTCGACGCCCCCCCCACCTGGACATGGAGGGCAAATTGGAGCCTTCGGGTTGGGTTGGGGTGTGGTGAAATCCTGGGTCTGTCTGGTCGACACTTGACTGTTACCATCATGAGCCCAGGCAGCCTCCATCTCCCGCAGCCAGCCGTGCGCACGGTCGGCGTCCCCGACGTTCATCAAGGCCCCGATGACCTATGGCTCCAGCCATGGAGGGGGGAGAGGAGGAGGGCGGAGGGGGAGAGCCAGAAACGCATGTTCTTACGATGCGCGATAACGGTCGTTAGCGGGGATGCCCCCCGCCACCTCCGCCCCACAATGACGTCACGATTCGCGCCGGCGCCGTTCGGGAATTGCTAGGGGTAGCTGATTCCCCAGACGGCACCGGCGCAAGTCGTGACATTACCAGCCCCATCGCCCCCCCCCCCCCTTCGGCAACGACCGTTGTCGGCACGGGGTAAAAAACAAGCCCAAAAGAGGAACCTAGCATCCTCGCGTCGCGGAAAAGAGCACGACGGAAATATCTTCACAAGTTTCGAGCGGGCCGAAAGCCCCGAACCCCCTTGAGACCAAACTGGCCAGTGTTTCGGCACCTCGATTGGAAATTCGAAACAATGAAGAAGACACGTAATAATGATACTACGAAGAAGAAACAAAACACAATAACAATGATAACAAACGAAAAAAGAAAGACACTAACACATAAGAAGAACATGATGCAGATGAACATTAAGAATGATACTGATAAGAGAACGTATATTTATGTTCGGCGATGACGGGCGTCATGGGGGGGGGCGAAGGGGGGTATGACGTAACGCCCCGCCCGCCGTGTGGTTTCGGCACCGCAGCCGCGCCCGCGCGCGCGACGCGACGAGCGACGAGCGACAAAAGACGACGACGACGATGCGAGCAGCATGTAGGTGGCGATCTGCCCCACTGCGCCTGTGTACGCCGCGGCGCTCGCGTGCAACACAGCGCGCGCGTGCATACCACAGCGCTTGCGTACACCGCAACAACCGTGTGCAACGCAGCGCCTGTGTACACCACAGTGCTTGCGTGCACTACATCGCCAGTGTACATGCGTACACCGCAACTACCATGTGCAGCACAGCGCCTGTGTACACCACAGTGCTTGCGTGCACCGCAGCGCCTGTGCACGCCGCGGCGCGTGTCTACACCACAACATCCGCGTGCAACGCAGCGCTGGTCGCAGGAGCATGTACGTGAGGATCTGCTGCGGACAACTAGACGTCACGCCACGAAAATGTTGATACTCGAATGCGACGTTCTTCCCTCCTCCCTCTTCCTCCACCTCCACCACCTCCTCCTCCTCCTCCTCCTCCTCCTCCTCCCACTCCTCCTCTTCCTCTTCTTCCTCCTCCTCCTCCTCCTCTTCCTCCTCCCCCGCATCCTCCTTACCCCCTGTCGTGCGGGTTGGCGCTACAGCGCACGCGCGCATCTCAGCGCGCACTGCATAATGGTTGGTTTTCTTGAATCGGTTTCAAGTTCACGTTTTTGGCGTTTTCTTCTTCGATTGACGCGCCAACTTTTAAGCCTGCGGCTCTTGGTTCGCCCCGGGCGATCTGCCGGCCGGAGCGAAGGCCGAAATCAGGTCCCAGCAGGTACCCTTTGGGCGGAGGACCTCCTGGCAGCCGTCGTGCCCGCGCGGGATTTATCAACACAGCGCCCCCTCGTTCATGACGTGGCGCCCAAAGGTCCTGCGGGGGCACCCGGCGAGAGCGTCTCTCAGATTCCCACATCGCCCTCCGCCACCGTGGCCCGCGGCTCCCAGATGGGGCGATAGCAATATGGGCTCGCCACGCGCGAGGGCCCGACGGGCACCGCGGCACCGAGGTCGTGCTCTTGCCAAGACTCTGCCGGAACACGCAGCACACTGCAACTACACAAAAAACACATGATGTAATACTGCCAGGCGCTCGCCACCCGGCCGCCGAGCACCCGCGCCTCCGCAGCCGTCGGCGCACGGCCCAGCACCAGGAGGTCGATGTCCAAGGCGCCTTTGCCCCTGCCCAGGTGGCCTGGGCCAGCCCTTTGCCGCCACGCGGACCACTGCTCCGTGGTCGGTTCACCCCTCGACCGGCTACGGCGACGCGAGCGCAGGCGAGCCCGCTGCTGCGCCAGCCGCCGCCGCCGCCGCCGCCGCCTGGTCACGGTTCTTTTCCACCTCCGCGTCCGTGCCCTGTCCTGCGGTTGCTGCGCCTGCCGCCGCCCCATCACCCGATCGAGCGCCGCGACCCCGCGGAGGACGCCGCCGCCCCGCCTCGCGCCGACTCGGCTCGCAGGCCTCACGCTGTCGTCGTCGTCGTCGTCGACGTCTTCGTCGTGGTCATGGTCGTCGTCGTCGTCGTGGTCGTCGTCGTCGTCGGCGTCGTCGTCGCGCCCAAGGCACCGCCCTCGGCGGCTGCGAGCGGGGCCCACAGCTCCGCGCCGCCCGCCCTGCCGGCCCCCGATGCCGCGCGCGTCCGCGCGGAGGGCGCCGGCGCGCAGCCTGTCCGGCGGCTCCGGCACGCCGCGTGGGCGCCCGGCGTGCCAGGCATCGGACTTGTCGGCGGGGCGGCCCGGCGACGACAGCCTGGAGCGACGAGGAGGAGGAGGACGTACGAGGGAGGGAGGGGAAGGAAGGAGAGCGTACGTGGAGGAGGAGGAGGAGGAGGAGGAGGAGGAGGAGGAGGAGGACGCAGGAGGAAGTAGGAGGACGTAGGAGGACGTGCGAGGACGTGCGAGGGAGGAAGGGAGGAGGACGTACGAGGAGGAGGACGTGCGAGGACCAGGACGAGGGAGGGAAAGGAAGGCAAGCAGACCGGCAGGCTGGCAGGCCAGCCTCTGGCCAGGTCGGACCTGCCGCTTCTGGTTGCTGTCGAGCGCGGGTTACTGAACAGTTGTTTCCGTAAACCCCCTCTATCTTCTGATCCGCTCACGCCTAGGCGCTGGCAGCAGTATCTTCGAAAGCGAGGCTCATGCTCAAGCTTTTCGGGGTTGAGCACACATCGGGCCCCTCCACACACAACAGCGTACGAGGAGGAGGTGTGCGAGGACCAGGACGAGGGAGGGAAAGGAAGGCAAGCAGACCGGCAGGCTGGCAGGCCAGCCTCTGGCCAAGTCGGACCTGCCGCTTCTGGTTGCTGTCGAGCGCCGGTTACTGAACAATTGTTTCTGTAAACCCCCTCTATCTTCTGATCCGCTCACGCCTAGGCGCTGGCAGCAGTATCTTCGAAAGCGAGGCTCATGCTCAAGCTTTTCGGGGTTGAGCACACATCGGGCCCCTCCACACACAACAGCGGCAACAGTCATGCTGAGACTCCCCGCTATTATCTGCGCGCGTGTCATTCAACATGTATACCCAGAAACGGCGAATCCCGCCCTCTTCGACTTCGACGGTACCCCCCTCGAGGGGGTTCTCTCACTTGCGGTGGCTGGCGAACGTAAACGGGCGAGCGGACGGGTAGACCCGAACGAGCGGCATGGCTGGCCCGATTGAGCGGTCTGGAGGTCAACTGGCGCGGTCTGAAGGTCAACTTCTCGATACGCCGAACACGACAACCCGTTTTGGTCGGACGACGCCGACCATGCACCTCCTCCGCCTCCCCCTCCTTCTCCTCCTCCTCCGCCTCCCCGTCATCCTCCTTCTCCTCGTCCTCGTCCTCCTCCTCCTCCTCTCCTCCTCCTCCTCCTCCTCCTCCTCCTCCTCCTCCTCCCCTCCTCCTCCTCCCCCTCCTCCTCCTCCTCCCCCCTCCTCCTCCTCTCCTCCTCCTCCTCCTCCTCCTCCTCCTCCTCCTCCTCCTCCTCTCTCCTCCTCCCCTCCTCCTCCTCCTCCTCCCCCTCCTCCTCCTCCTCCCCCTCCTCCCGAGCGTGCTGGCACGCGGGGGACAAGGTGCGTCGAGCTGACACGAGACAGACTCGTTCCGCGACGACTCTTGGGCGTTGGCCTCCGATAACCGCGCAGATCGGCGAAGCTTGAACGATTCGGCGGCTTGGCGATGGCTCCGCCTTGCGCAGTCTCGAACGCCCGCGCCCGGTGATCTCCACAGGCACCACTGTTGCCTGTCCACGTGCTCTTCTCGCTGATCTCTCGCCTGCAAGAGGCGACACAATGCGGTCCGGGTCAGTTCAGACGGGCAGCATGGCGTCAGAGCAGAGAGATCAGCGAGAAGAGCACGTGGACAGGCAATCGAACGATCGGCGGCTTGGTGATGGTGATGGAACGCCCGCGCTGGGGTCGCAGCCGCGTCGACACGATACGAACCTACCGTACCCCGCTGACGCTGTCCAATGTGAGGGGCCTTGCACGGCAGAGGGCAGGAGAGCCCAGAATCGAATCGATCCGTCGAGTCGGCGATCGAAATGCATCGGATCGGCGGAAATCGGCAGCCAGGTCGGGAAACCTCGCATCCGCAGAAATCGGCAGGCAGGTAGGCCTCCATTGAGGGCTCCGAGATCCAAATCGGAATCCGATGCCGACTCGGACCGGAATCAGAGACCATCGAAATCGAATCGAACCGAAACGGAGGAATCGAGATGAGCCCTGAAAGGGAGACCAGATCGTGGCCCGGTTGCGCCGCCCCCGGGGGTGCCGCCGTGAAGCCGCGGGTGCCGAGCTCCGCGGTGCCCGCCGCCGCGGCCAGCCGCCGCAGCCACGCCTCGGGCCGCGGACGGGGGAGCGATCGGGCGAGCTGCAGTGCGACAGTAGAGGGCAGAACATCCCCCCCCCATTATAGAGCTCCTGGGCCCAGGATGGGCCTGGCCAGGAGCAGTGGATATGCATAGATCTCGTCGCACTACATTAAGAATCACACCGACGAGCGAAGCCGTTTGGCAAACGCACCCGAAGAAGGAATCGAACAGGGCAGGGCCGCTCAGTGAACGCCGAAGGCAGTGTAGTGAACGCCAATTGTCGGGTCCGGGTGTTTTCTCCTCCCTTTCGACATGATCACGAGGATGCGCAGTGTACCCCTGGACGCTCAGATTGAAGCCAGAGCTGAAGCCCACGGGCCCATGGCCAAGAGTCATGATGGACCAGGAGGCAAGGATGCACGGGGAACCGTTCTTGGACAGCTACCCGTCTTCATGGTCCTGTGTGACTGCGCAACGGGCTGCTAAAGCAACGCGACCTCCATCGTCGTGGACGGCGGCGGTTTGGGAGCGGTTTAGGGGCGCTCCAGGTGACCTCTAGGAGGCGCTGGTAGGAACGCGGAATTGTACTGCTTCTGCAGGTGGGGGCAGCACCAAGACGCTCCTGAAAGGACCCTTAGGAGGTTTCCTAGAGGTCTGGACCCCTTCCCCAGGACCTTCTTGTCGCCCTGATCATTTGAAAGAGGCTGCCACGTGAGCAGCACGCAGATAACACAATGCATCCATCGTGCGACCGCAACCCGTGTTCCTCGAGCTCTTGACGAGCGGCCCAGTGCGGCGGAAGCTCGAGCACGGAAATAAAAATGATGATAGTCGCAATTCTCGGCTTGCCTCGTCCCACAATCGATCGGCGTCTGGCCGCCCCGGGGCACCGCAGAAGCCCCCCAGGGTGCAGAGAACGAACACGAACATCACGTCGTGACTCTCCGGCGACAAGAATAGAGGCCTCCTAGATGTATCGGCGATGCATCGGCGGTGCATCGGCAACGTCGACGATGCATCGGCGATGTCGGCGTGGGGAAACACGGGCTCTACGTACATCGAGCCGCATCGCCGATGCATCGGCGATGCGGCAGGATCCTCCGACCCCATTTACTCGGACCCCAACTAGGAGGCCTACGTAGAGAGGAGTCCCAGGCCCCCGGACGGGGCAGTGGTGGGCTTGTTTTCCACCGCCACCACCATAAGTAGGAGGGGGATAGGGGTCCTCCTCCTCCTCCTGCTCCTCCTCCTACTCCTCCTCCTCCTCCTCGTCCTCCTCCTCCTCATCCTCATCTTCATCCTCCTCCTCCTTCCCCCTCCAACTTCTGGTGGTGGTGGTGGTGGTGGTAGAAAACAGGACCCCAGAGGGGGCAACACCTCGAGCCCGCGAGGGCCCCGAGACGGCCCAGCGGAGCGCTGGGCGGACTGCAACCAGTCGAGTATCAGAGCGTGAATTACCTACCCCGCTTTCGCTTCCAGGCAAAACCAAGCCATACCACGCGCCTCCTCGTCAAGCGGCCTGACCAGTACAGGCCGCAATTTGGCATCGTTTGGTATCGCTTGGAAGCGAGGGTGGTCAAAAGCGAGGTAGGTTTGTTTCCCCCCGAGAGTAGGTCGGGACTTCGGGGGCCGCGTGCTCAAAGAACCAGGACGTCGCATGCCGGGGGGCGGCTTGGCCGACCCTTAGCAGCACACGGGCCCCGAGACGGCCCTCTCGAGGCGCGGGGCGCGGTCCGATCCCCTGACGCCCTCGCTGGGCGGCGCCGACGGGGGGCGATCGGCCCAGGGAGGGAGCAACAACTGCGTCCAGGGGCACCGATGGCCTTTTTCTTGAATTCGAAACCTGGTTTTTCAAGTCAAAAACCACATCTCTGAATTCAAATACCAGTTTCTCGATTTCAAATATCAATTGTTTGAACCAAAATACAAGTTTTTTAAATTCCAAAACAAGTATTCGGCGAGGCTGCCCGGCGAACACAGAGTCGACACGCATCACGAGGACGCACGACAAGGATGCAAGGCCTCGGATGGCCATTTCGAAGCTCCTCGCGGGGCGCGGCCAGCGAAAGTGGCCAGGGGTGGGCCGAAGGGGCGTGGATGCAACGGGTGCCCCTGGGGAAGTTTGCCCATCCTTGCTATGCGGGCCGGCTGTACGCCTGATGCCCGCCCTTGAGCTATTCGCCCCTATCGTCAAGTCGGGCCTGTCCTCCTACAAGGGGGTTTTGGACGACAAATTAAAAATACAAAAAACGCCCAAATGGTATAAAATACTCAAGGGATCTTCTTCAGACTATTTCTGGACTATTTTTGAATATTCCTCCTGTAGAGGGACGTGCCTGACTTAACCCAATCGCCTGGGGGACCTCACATGACTAGAGGCCTCCCAGATGGGGTTGGACCAGATGGGGTCGGAGGATGGAGCCTCATCTCTTATACATCGGCGATGCATCGGCGATGCAGCGGCGATGCATCGTCGACGTCGGCAATGCATCGGCGACCCCATCTACTACCGACCCCATCTAGGAGGCCTCCACCTTGGCGCGAATGCTCGTAAAAGAAAAAGCCCATGCCAAGAAACACCCTGCCTGTCTCCAGGGTGCCCTGGGTCATCTGTCGGGTCCTGCTGGATGTGCCCCTGGCCCAGGGTGCCCCCAGCTTTTCGCTCCGTCTTGGAGCCCCTGGGCCCTCTGGGCCTCGTAACGGGTGTTCTGGAGGCCGTGGGGGGCCTCCCTGGAAATCCTGGGGGCACCTTGGGCCAGGGGCACCTCTAGCAACACACGACTCTGGGCTCCGACGGTTTTGCCATGGAAAGAACGACGTTCCCACGCAAAGAAACAATTTGAGCAGGGACCGACCGTCCCGGCATTCCTGTAGTAGGCCTACCACGACATGTTCTCAGAACACAAAAAATTCTAAGAACAAAAACGGCGTTCTCAAATTGTAAACCCGATGCACCGAAACAAGACAGTCGCAGCCAGAAATGTTCTAATAACATATCGTAGTGACCGCAAAAAACCCTTAGAACATTGTTTGGTCGGCCTATAGGCACGCCAGGACGCTTCGTCACTGCTTGATCAATGGACGTCCTGACCTGGAATGATGCGGCAGCGTACGGTGCGGTGAGCTCGGCATCCCCAAGGAGGACTCACCGCACGGTCCGTCGCCGGACGGCCTCGGGACACCCCGGAGGAGCACGGCTTCCCCGGGGGCCGCAAGCGACCCGAGGAAGAGAAAAAAAGGGGGAAGAGGAGGAGGAGGAGGAGGAGGAGGAGGAGGAGGTGAAGGAGATGAAAGAGGAGGAACGGGAGGAGGAGGAGGAGCGGGAGGAGGAGGAGGAGGAGGAGGACGACGACGACGAGGGAGGAGGAGGAAAAAGGAGGAGGAGGAGGAGGAGGAGGAGGAGAAGGAAGGGGTCGCGTGAGCCTTTCGGACAAACCCTCCTCCTGGAGGCCCCCGTGGCCCGAGCCGTCCTCGGCGAAAACGACCCGAGCCCCAGAGCCGTGTGGCCACTCCGCAGTGTCCACGGACTCACCACACCAAGCCTCCTCCGGATGTCAGCAGCTCGCAGGCCATGCCTCGAGCCTCCCGCGGCCGCTCGGGACGACCCGGGCAGCCCCCCGAGCGCTCCCGGCGAGGCGCAGCCGCTGGGACGCACCCTGGAACAGGAAAACCACGGGAGCCGACGAAGAGAGCTACAGGAGACCGAATCAACGCTGCAGTCGCGACTCTCGGGTGGCCCCTGGCTCGCGGCCACGGCCCCCTTTCGGGCGGCCGCCACTGGAGGGGAGCGCAGCTCCCCAGCAGCGCAGGTCGCGCAGGCAGCGACATGGCGGCATGTTGTCTGTAGAAGATGGCGAAGTTACTATCACGGATACAGGAAGAGGAGGAGGAGGCGGAGGAGGAAGACGAAGACGAAGCCGAATCATAATACTAATAAGAAGAGGAAGACGAAGAAGAAGAAGCATAAGAAGAATAGTAAGAATAATACGACGAATAATAAAAAGAAAACGAAGAATAATACGAATAATGATAATAATACGAATGAGAACACGAAAGAAAAGAATAATGATAATGCTAACCATAACAACAATAAGAACACTAATAATAATCATAATAATACGAATAATGATAATACTATCAAGAATGCGAAATTGAACAAGAATACGAACACTAATACGAATAAGAAGACACATAATACTAAACATAAGATGCAGAGCCATAACATTACGAAGAAGGAGCGTGAGACAAACTGGTGGATGATGAGGAGGAGGAGGAGGAGGAGGAGGAGGAGGAGGAGGAGGAGGAGGAGGAGGAGAGGAGGAGGAGGAGGAGGAGAGGAGGAGGAGGAGGAGGAAAGAGGAGGAGGAGGAGAGAGGAGGAGGAGGAGGAGGAGGCGCTGGAGCTGGAGCAAAAGCAGGAGCAGGATGAGGAGAAGGAGCAGGAGGAGGAGCGAGGAGGAGGGTTAGGAGGAGGAGGAAGAGGAGGAAGAGAAAGGGAAGGAGGATCGGGAGGAGGAGGAGGAGCAGGAGGAGGAGGAGGAGGAGGAGGAGGGGCGAGGATAAGAAGGAGAAGAGGAAGGAGCAGGAGGAGGAGGAGGAGGACAGGAGGATAAAGAGGAGTACGAAGAGGAAGACGAGGGAACCTCGGAAAAGGCGGCGCCGCCACCTCCGCGCCCGCGCGCGCCCCGCGCGCAGCGAGCCCTCGCGCCTGCCTTAGCGGGCGCCCCCCATGCTGAGCGTGCGAGGCGCGCGACGGCCCCGCGGACTCCGCGCGCCTCCTCCCGCCGCCACGCTGCGCTCAGCGGCCCTCGGCCGAAGTAGCACGTCGAGCGCGGCTGGCAGCTGCCCATCGACCCGTCAGCGGCTCGATGGACACCGCGATCCTGTCCGAGATGGCGGGCGCCAGCTGTTTGCCCAGCTTGGCGATGGCCAGCTCGCCCTTGGCCGACGCGCGGCCGCAAAGGGCTGCGAAGCTGGCCGCCCGCACGGAGCCCACTACGCCGCTGGCCGCACACGCCACGAGCGGC